TTGTGACTGAAGACACTATTAGAGAAATGGTTAAATATGGTGCCATCAAAAATACTATAAAGAATACTGAAACCTGGAGTCGAGTTCTTAAAGAATACCGATCTACAATAATTTGGATTATGATATTTCTACGATTACCGATGCAAAACAGTTAGAGAATGAATTAATCCGGTTTTTTCTAGGTTTGCGGCGTAAGGATAAGCAACCATATTCACCAAAATCTATCTATAACTGTTATTGTGCAGTTGCACGTTATTTGCATGATAGTTCATTGATGTATCTACATCCTAATTTGTTTGACGAAACTTGTTATGGAACTTTAATAAAATCATTAGATGGCAAAATCAAGCAAATTCAAGATCATAATCCTTGATCTGCGGATAAGTCTGACGCACTTTCATTTGAAGAAATTCGTCAAATTTTAAATCATGAGATTTTATGCGATGATAATCCTCAAGCATTAACGAAACGAGTTTACTTTTGGCTCTGCTTGCTTTGTGGATTTCGTGGTGGAGATGCACAACGGCTTAAAATAACTCATGTAACTGCTACGAAATATCAAGAAATTCAAGTAATCATTCCACAAGAAAAGAACAATGCTGGTGGCATTAAAAATTTGGATAATTCAGGACGAAAATGTGAAATTCCACCCGACCAAGATGAAAAATTTACACCAGTTGCAGATATATTAATAAGTGTCCTAATTTTAATACACAAGAATTTTTCTTGCGTATTGATACTAAAAAAGGTAATTTCATTTATTATTATTATTATTATTATTATTATTATTATTATTATTACTATTATGTAAAGAGTCTCACGATATATATATACTTTCTTTACATATGTAATATAATCACAGCGATTCTAACGATACTAACTATTATAACGATTACTGATATTACTATTTTACTAGGATTTTCTGTAATTACAACGATGAACATAATACAGTAATAGAATGTGCTTTAGTGAGCTTATAATTGAAATATGGTAATATAGTGCAATTTTAACAAGTTATAGAGAGTAGACAACCCTTTTTATATTAAGAATCTGACTTGTCTTTGAATAACATAAGTAAACATTTTATGTCACAGTTTGATGCATCTGGAAAGCTTTGTAATATATTTATATGTCGTAATGAAGTTACTACCTGACTGAAGTTGCTACATATGAACCTTCATTCAACTGAAGTTACATCTATAGATTCTGTTGAATGTAATAGCCATGGCCTTTTTAAACATCCAAATGTCATAATTAAGCACTAAATGATTTAAGCGTTTCTTTAATGATTTCGCACAACTTTCAGAAAACGAATATGATTATAATGTCAAATTTGGAAAATAAAGTTTTATATCATATTCTTTAATTTTATATTATTCTTCATAATTCTTTGTTAAGAATTATTGATCCAATAAAAAAGAATAATATCTTTAATAATTCATATTTCTATAATACTTCAAGCAAGTTGTTTGCTTTATGATGAAAGTTAATAATTATTTTTGGATACGAAATTTACCAGAATGCTATTATTATTATCGTAAAATATTGTCTTAAAAAATTAGGCTTTTATAATTTAAATGATGCTTAGGTTAATTATTAGGGTTTCCAGGATCTAACCATTTCTCTAATAGTGTCTTCAGTCACAACCTCAAATCAATCATCCAACTTGTCATTAGACAAGTTTTTTGCGGAGTTATCATGTGAAGCAGGATCACGTCAGATAGGTTCTGTGCAATATTACCGCTGCTATTAATTAATCTAGAATCCTTTGAAAACAAGTCTTATTTATTAAATGTATTATGACAAAAAATAAAAAAATAAAAATACGTAGTACTGTATATATATACCGTATTACTACGAAATAGCGCACACCTGCGCGGTATTTCGATCACCTGTGCGGTGTTTCGATACGCTATTTCGAAAAGCCTTAATTTATATAAGAACAATTAACGTATTATAGTTAAACTGATTTGTCATTCTCAATGGCCCACTTTTAGCAGCATACATGTACTGTACATATGAACTTCTACTTGGCGATACTGACAATAATGATAAGGATGCCAATTTGCTATTTTAGTATTTATTTTTTATTAGCCGTTATTATTTGTCATTTTTTATATATCAATTTTAACTGTATTTATTTTAATGTGGAATACATTCATTTATGCAGTATAATATATAAGGTGCGCGCAATTTCGGGACGCGCATGGGCGTTATTTTGAAGCCAAGTATACTATTTTTAGGGAATGTGATTTTCGAAATAACGCCCATGTGCGCTATTCCGCAGTAATACGGTAAATAAAATACCGGAACGAAACTTTCCTGTGAGTTAATATCCATTTTAAATATAAAAAAAGAAAGATCGCTAAAAAAAAAAAATTATATCGAAAAAAAAGTTTATTTATATAAGTCATAAAACATTGTCATGACGTCATATAAAACGAAGAACAACACTCGCTGCGGGGGATTTACCTCTTATTCCCGTCGCAGCGGGAAATAAATAGTACTTATTGCCCACTTCGTGGACAATGACATATTTGATCTACATAGTACATTTAACACCCAACGTCACACGGAAAATTGACTCAAAACAAACATTGCCTTGTGATTAGGTAGTTGTTATTGTTTACATAATGGGAAATATTGCAAATAAATTTAATGTTAAAAAGACGAAATTGGATAACCAC